CTTGGTTCCTGTAAATAAAGTCTTGGTAAAGTATTCTCCAGCGTCTCCTCGTTCCTCGTGTGTGTGCATCGTGACAAGCGCGGGATCATCAGCTCCAGAACAAAAATAAAACTGTCACGAGTCTTTTGCTATGCCTTTGATTGCACAACAAAGCCACTAGAAGGCAAGCCTGCAACCATTAGCCGAAAAAGCGTAACGGCTAAAGCTAACGCTTCCGGTCTGGCAGTACGTTATTTTTTTAATGGATGTCAATGGAGGAGAGGCTTCACAACGCTGAATAAACAGCTTTTTAGAGGAAACGGCTGATCTGCTAATCTTCAACATGTTTTACACTAAACAATACTTTTGTATTGAACTATTTTTAGAGTTTACTATGAAAAAAATGCCGTTTTATAAAAGAAGCCACTGACTATTTGCGAAACATGGGATTCAGCTTACGGCATTTCTCATTTATTCCTATGGTATCCGTAAACTGCGATTGCGTGTCGCACAACTCTGACTGAAATTCAGTGACGTCGAGGCTGTAATGTGATTGGTTATTAAAGGACATGTGATCCAAGTTAGCTGTTACGCTTTCTCCAATAGTAAGTAATACAGACCCTCTTATATCCCAATAGTAAGACAATCTCTGTTGTGCACAGGCGAGTATCCACTAGTAAAGCGAAAGAGATGATCAGTTCATGTGCGCTGCCGCTTCGCTTGATCTGAGGTGTCTACAGCGATCTATCACGCCACATTACAAAGCGCCAAAAGGGCATATATTGCTTGAATTTCCTAATAAAATGGACAGAATTTGAAATCTGAGACTTTGTTTCATATCAAAAGTAACAAAGCACAAAGCTTAGTCTATTGCGATTTACTGGATGGGAGGCACTATAGCTTATGTACGGTTCATTCATCAACTGAAAACAGAATCGATTGGGATTTAAGAATCGATATTGGTTCATAAAAATGAGAATCTATTAAAATCGATTTTTTTTTTCCGTTTTACCCAGCCCAAGCATATTTTGTTGTTTTAGTGGCCTCCTCTGTCAATGTGGTGTGTGCTGTTGAACATGAAAAGTGACGCACAGTCTCTGTTCATCTGTTCTCATCATAAATAAATAAATGCATAAGCCTATATGCTCATCCTGTAGGTTCATTATTAAAAATGAAAACAAAAATACAAGCAATTAAATGTGTTATTATAATTAAAATATGAAAATTAAAATGGCGGGTAATAGTAGATTATGACGGAATTTTTGCGACCCTGTCCGGACAATGTTAAAGTCTAACACAACCTCTGATATATATATATATATATATATATATATATATATATACTGTATATATATATATATATATACATTTTGATTTTTTTATTCCTTACTATTGCGTATGGTGCAATGTTATTTTAGTATCACTGCTATTATAGTTTTTGTTAATATTTTGAATTATATTTTATTTTATTTTTATTATATTTTCTGTTTTCATTTCAATTTTAATCCAAAATGGTCCCACTTTTTCCTTGTTACAGTGTAATTATACATTTAAGTACTGAGTAATATTAATTAACCACATGTACTTACAGTACTATATGGTTAGGGTTAGGATTAGGTTTTGGCTTAGGGTTACTTGCATGTAATTATGCCAAATTTATTTTTATTATAATACTAAGTACATGTAACATGTGTAACAAGGACGCCTTAAAATAAAGTTTTAAGTTATAAAATTATTTAGTTTTAGTTATTTTGATACTTAATATAATTTTAAATGAAAATTAGAAATATTTTCTTGGCGACTAGCTGAGATACAATAAATTCAATATTATTTATATTAAATTTTTATTTTGTTAATGATTTTTGAAGGTTTTAGTTAATATTACCCTGATGTGTTGGTGTGTTAGAGTTTGAAGACTCTTAACAAATACAATATTTCTCTGAAGGCTGCCTTTCTGGAAGCTTCTAGCAAACGTGGACTCAGGGGCCAAGCTAGAGAGCGAGCTGAGAACCTTCTCAAACCGGCTGAAGCGGCATCACCTGGGGGAGGGAGTCATCAGCCTTGACGAACATTCCACTGCTCTCCTCGCCAGCATGGTGGGTCACGCGCTCTAAATCACCCTCTGCCTGCTTCCTGCAACACAATAACGTCTGACTGTTCTGTATATCAGCTGGGGATTCATGATTTTAAAAGAAGTCTTTTTATGCTCATCAAGGCTGCATTTACACTGCAAATACACAAAAAGTGATATTGTAAAATATTAACACAATTTTAAATGGAATATATGTTCAAATGTAATTTATTCCTGTGATGCAAAGCTGAATTTTCAGCATCATTTGTCCAATAATAATAATAATAAAAGCAACAATAATATAAAAGCGTCAAATCAAGTAGCTTGTTGTTTTATAAACACTAATAAAAACAATGAACAATGAACCCCACGTAATAAATAGGTTGTGAGAAAGCTGAAGTCATTCAGTGTCAGAGAGGCTGTGGTGATCTGCAGTATATTCCCCGTCTCTGACCTTCAGTGTGCTGTTTAATCTCCAGCCGTCAGCGGCAATTTTAAATGGAATATATGTTCAAATGTAATTTATTCCTGTGATGCAAAGCTGAATTTTCAGCATCATTTGTCCAATAATAATAATAATAAAAGCAACAATAATATAAAAGCGTCAAATCAAGTAGCTTGTTGTTTTATAAACACTAATAAAAACAATGAACAATGAACCCCACGTAATAAATAGGTTGTGAGAAAGCTGAAGTCATTCAGTGTCAGAGAGGCTGTGGTGATCTGCAGTATATTCCCCATCTCTGACCTTCAGTGTGCTGTTTAATCTCCAGCCGTCAGCGGCTCGGCCTCTGCACCTGTTGTAGCTCCGGGCCTTCAGGCCTTCATTTTCCGCCTCAACACCCCACCGGCTCGCACAGCCCACAGAGCCAACTGGACAGCTTCTTCTGCATGTACATGTTGAAAATGATCATCTATCAATTGATTTTTTTATGGTTTATGTTTATATTTATGTATGGTTGTGTACAAGTAAGTGCAACAACTCAGTAACAGGGTTATTATGGTTAACTATAACCATTAAAAAAAACATGTTCATTGATTAAAATAAAATAAATGTGTACTGAAAAAAAAAAAAACATTTTATTTTAGCTAGTCGACAAGGCAACATTTCTCGTCAAGCTGAAGTACTAAAATAACAAAATAAACTAAAACGAATAAATTAAAATTAATAAATATTATAGACATATATTAAAAAATTGATTCAATTTTTAAATAAATTAAAAGATCAAAAAAAAAAAAGATTTTTTTTTTATTTGTATTTTTTATAAAAACAAAATAAACAAAAAACAAAAACAACTACATTATTTGAAATAAAACAAAATATTTAAAAAGATGAGAAAAGAACATTTTATTCATGCTAGCTGCCAATCCAACATTTCTCATTTGTGTTTAAATTGAAGTACAAACATAAGTAAATCTGAATTAATTAAAACTAAAACCTATAATTAAACTTGAAAAATGAAAACAGAAAATATATCAATAAAATCTCATTTAAAATATCAACAAAAAAAAATTGTTTATAAATTATACTAAAATTCTCTTCATAGTGTTATCTTTTTCTTTTCCACAGAAAAATACCAGTGTGGATATCTGGTTTAAATAAATGACAGAATGAGTGTTTTTTTTTTTTTTAAGTAATCAATATGAATACGAGGCTAAAATCAATGTTAAATTTTACAGTTCACTTCAGCATTCAAGCAGCATCAGTGTCAGCTAATGTGCACAACCTTGAGTAATTATATAAAGTATATTCAAATCCGATTTAGATCCTTCTTAGGCATTAAGCACTGTGCATATGTAACATTTTGAACTAAAAAGTCTTTGTTTAATCAGATTGTGAACTGTTAGTAGCCTTCAGCCGAATTATAAAACATAATTCGCCAAACTATTTTGATCCATGCACTTGGTGGAAAACTCAGTTTAAAAAAAGAAAACCATTGTTTCAGTCGTCAGTTACTCACCCTCATTTTGTACCAAACCTGTATGACTTTCAAAACAAACTAGTGACCACTAGTGGTGCATAAATGACAGACTTCGCTGTTCATTTTCATGCGGTTGATGGTGAGGTTTCTGAAGGGCTCATTATAATCACAAACACAGGCCAGGGTCTGGCAAAACATGTTTCGTTTCGATATGGAGGTACATAGCAGGCAGAGTTACCGCGGGAACACTGTGTTCAAGTAGAAACGTCTCACGTTAAAAGCCACCAGCTGGCCTGTTAAGTTCATTCTGACAGAACAAAACAAGTCCGAGCTGCTCAGTGGACATGAAAGGCTTCATTTTTCTAAGCGGATCTGCAGCCGGTGAGGAGAGGTCAGGATCTGAACCCTGAGAGAAAGACACACATCTCTGGTTCACTGAAATGCCAGCAGGGAACTGGTTTACAGTTAGGTGATACTTGCTGTGTTAAGGAGACTGATATGTTGAACCAGTGTGGGCCATCTGTGTTAAGTTAGCTTTGTCTTTTTACCACTTTTTATGCATTTCTCAATGCTTTTATCTAAGGTTTATAGTGCATTCAAGGTGTATATTTTATCAGAACACATATATAGGTTGTGTTTTAGCGGCTGAGCTATGAACAGACTGTAAACCTGAAGGCTTGTACCTGAACTCCCCACATGAGCGCCACAGCTTAACATCTCTGGAGCATTTGCTGTAACCACTAAGCCACGACCCCAACATGGGCTATGGGGAATATCATTATATAGTTGGGTCAGTGACAAATAAGAGTGCTAATGCTGGTTTCGGAAAACTTTTATACCTCTTTCAACAAAAGTTTCATTTTAATGAGTCTAAAAATGTCATGTGGTGTAACCATCAAATAAAAAGAGTTTCCTTACACCCTGAATATATCTTTATTTTCAAGAATGTTTTAAAATATACTTTATTTATTTATTTATTTTACACATATAATATTTCTATATATGATATAATATTCATAAATATTACTTGTTTATTTGGAGTGTCGCACCACATGACATTTTACAACCTGAGACTTATTGATATCATGCTAAAGGCATTTATCACAATGTCAAATTTATGTTTATATGGTTTCACATGATTTTGAAAAACTTTAATATATCCTTTTTAATCATTTTAATGAGTCTAAAACGGTCATGTAGTGTAACCATGAAATAAAAAGTAATAACATATTATCCTAAAAAAATTTAATAAAAATAAATAATTAATTCATAAATATCATTAGTTTTTGGTGAGCTGCACCGCATGACATTTTACAACCCGAACAACTGTGCTTTGCCATAAAAATTCATATTTTCTGATATTATAAGAGACTTATTAACACATGGGCATCTGCAGGGTTGCATGTTGGTTACACCACATGACTTGGATTTAGCGGACAAGTTTTTCAAATATTAATAATCACTGAAGCAATTTTGCAAATTATTTTTTTTCTAAGAAATACTAATTATTAATGTAATATATAATTATTCATATTATTAATTAATAATAATAATTATTATAGGTTATTATGATATTAGGACAGTTATCACCCTGATATTTCTGACTTCATGCCCCCAACATACATTTAAATTCAGAAATGCTATTAAGATCATAAATAAATATATCTAGACAAAAAAAAAAAGGCTTGTATATATTTATAATATTGCCCTTCATATTGTTTTTTGGCCATAAAATAAAAACAGACATCGGCCAGAAAAAAATATAATCTGTGCATACCTAAGAATTTTTAATTTTAGACTGTCTTGATTTATTGTTTATATTAACTCATTATGTTTTATGACACACAGGCTGGTTTAAATTTTTTGACTAATCAGGACATTGTTCTTAGGCATGCATGCTTGATTGATCTCAAAGCAGTATAAATGACACTGAGCGGTTCGTTTCACAGCTGAATTCCTCTAGAAAGATCAGAGGCAGGTGAAAGAGAAAAAAAGAAAAGAAAAGAATGTTCTCTATGTCTAAAATACTTAAAAGGCTTATCAGAACATTAACGTCAATGTAATGCTGACTACAGCCCTCCTATTACAATAACTCATGACTTTGGTTTTACTCTTTTGAATTTTTTTTCATATTTGTTCCTTTTTCCATACAACACATTTTCCCTTCCATTACACTTACATTTTGCTATATTGCAATAGCTATATGTATTGAAAAATAGGCTATAGGCTCAAATTAAAAATTAAAATGTTTGATTATTACAAAAAACTGGGGACTTTATAACAAAAATATCAGATAACCCACAATGAAGCATAATTATGTGTGCTATCTGATACATGCACCACACTTTCCCATTTCCCAACCTGAATAAAAGTCATACCACTAAACTGCAGTGGGAAACTTTCCCTTGTGTGACAGTTATACGAAACTCCAATTGGGGAAACAATCCCAATGCAGTTTTTTTCTTTGCTAGTTTCCATTTTAGCTTGAAATAACACAGTCATAAGCGGAACCAACAGCTTGACTTGGAATGAATTTGGTTATAAACACACTTGCCAGTATTCACTATTTATTGCACAAATTCCTCATAAGCACAGCGTTCGGCATGCCTGTACAATATGATTAATATAAATTACATTATTGTTATAGTTTCTCAGACGCCGGGGCTCTGTTAGCAACTGTCATGGTAAAAACATTAATAGGGGCTGACGTATTATTTTCAGTGATGGTAAAACAGTAATATTTTCCATACTGTTAAAATAATCAACAAAATACGAATTCTGAGACTTTAACGCTGACGGCTGCCATTGTCTGTAATATCTGACTGCCTACAAAAGCAGACTACAAACTGTGGGTGTAAAAACGGTGAGACATTATGAGTGTGTTAAAGGAATAGTTCACCAAAAAAAATGTAAATATGCTCAATTGATCCTCTGCAGTGAATGGGTGCCGTCAGAATGAGAGTCCAAACAGCTGATAAAAAAAAAACATCACAGTAATCTACAAGTAATCCACAACACTCCAACCCAAAACAAGTCCATTATTAAGACATTTTTAACTTCAAACCATTGCTTTCAGCTAAAATATGACTCCTCTGTGCATAATATTGCTTTCTCCAGTGAAAAAGTCATCTTGTCCGAATCAGGAGAGAAATATGCACAGATCAAGCACAGTTTACAAGCAAAAACAGTCCAGAACAGCTCTAAACAAATGTTGGTGGATTTTGATGTGAAAGACAACAGGAGATGGACTTTTTTTTTACTGGAGGAAGAGTTATTACACTGTAAAAAGTAATGAGTTGAACTTACTTGGAAAACCTGTGGAAACTGATTGCCTCAAATTTCTCAAGCAAATTAGTTTATAATTTTTGAGTTAATAAAACTCACTGTAACTTTGTATAGGTAACTTGTGTATATGTATAGGTTACCAGAAAACTTGAGTGTTGCTAACTCAATTTGACAAGTTCAGCCAACTTAGAGACTTAAGTTAAGCTTAGTGCACAGAACTCAAACAAAACAGTTCTCTTAACAAGTCTGCTTTGTTCACATTACTAGACAAATGTGTGGAAACAGATTGCCTTAAATTTCTCAAGTAAGCTGTACTCAAAACTTGAAGTTGTTAATACAAAGACAGAAAACAGATTGTTAGCACAACAAACACTTCCCTGGGGAGTTCCATTCTCAATTGGGAGAATCTGAGAAAAAGCAGTTCCTACTCTTACTTGAATTGTTCTTCCAAACAAGAAACTCAGAATCCAGTTATACATTTTTCCATCAATTCTCAAGCTTTCCAATTTCATTAAAAGCCCCTCTTTCCACAACATATCGTAAGCTTTTTCTACATCAAAAAAGACTCCCACAAGCACCTCTTTATTAATTTGAGCTTCTCGAATTTCAGCTTCCAAACACAATATTGAATCCATCGTATTTCTCCCTTTTCTAAATCCACTTTGACATGCTGAAAATATGTTTCTACTTTCAATCACATAAGTCAACCTGTTCATAACCATCCGTTCCATAAGTTTGCATAAATTTGATGTCAGCGCAATAGGTCTATAATTAATTGGCTGAGACTTGTCTTTTCCTGGTTTGGCTATTGGCACTATGACCCCATGCTTCCAATCTTCTGGCAAATTCCCTGTCTCCCATATTTTGTTAAAAAGTCTTAAAATCATACTTAATGATAATTCTGATAAGTGCTTTATCATCTCATAGCATATGTCATCCTTGCCTGGAGAAGTATGTTTGACCCCTGCAAGCGCTCTCTTTAACTCATACAAAGTTAATTCTGAGTCTAACATACTTCCTGATGGATTCTTCTTTACATAAATGTGAGCATTCTCCCTAACTTTCTGTTCCCTATATCTCCTCATATTATCTGAAATATTACCATTACTGTGCACCTTTACGAATGCTTCCACTAACATCTCTGCTTTGTCAGTCTTTTATTGCTATTTTTCCATTATTTACTAACACTGGAATATTGTTATTTCTCTGAATCCCTCCCATCTTCCTAATCATATTCCAATCATATTCCAAACAATTTCTTCCCCAATTCTATTACAGAATTCTCTCCAGTAATTTCTTTTTGCGTTTCTTACCTCCCTCCTCACTTTTGCCTATGCTCTCTTAAAGTTAATGTACTCACTAAACAATACAGATTTTCTGGCTTTCTTCATCGCTTTATTTTTTTTCCCTAATTGCCTTACTACACTCGTTATTCCACCACGGGACTGCTTTTTTACTATTTATAGTTTTCTTTTTGCCAATTACTTCTTCTGCCGTATTTCTTAACACTTCACTTATTTTCTTACTTAACTCTTCGATACTTTCAATACCATCTTCTATTTCACACATCTTGTTATGACACAATTCTTTAAAAAGCTCCCAGTTGGCTGCATTAAATTTCCATCTTGGAATTCTCTCCACCAAGGTTTGTATGATGTCCACACCAATTTTACACCATATTGGATAGTGATCACTTCCCATTGTACTTTGTTTACTTACATTCCATTCACATTTTCTAGCTAGATTTTCTGACACTAGAGTGATATCTAAAGCTGATTTACGCCCATGAGTTACATCTATTCTCGTACAACATCCATTGTTAATACATACTAACCGTCCCCAATCTAACATTTCTTCCACAATCAGCCCATTATAATCTGTTTTAATACTCCCCCATAGTGTATTATGGGCATTGAAATAACCACACCATATTACTTTCTGATTTGTGTTACTACAAATTTGTAAAAATCAGTTATGTTTACTCGCTTTTCTTAAGTAGATTCAGTGATTACTTTTTACAGTGTATGGATTATGGTCTTGTATTTTGGTCAGAAGTGATGGTTTAAAGTTTAAACGTCTTAATATTGCATTTATTGTAATTCATTCTGACGGCACCCATTCACTGCAGAGGATCCATTGGTGAGCAAGAGGTGCAAAATTTCTCCAAATCTGTCATCTATATAGCCTGAGGGCGAGTACAATTGAAGCAAAATTTCATTTTTGGGTGAATTACTTTAAATAACGTTTAGATTTTACAGTTTTTCATGTAACCAAAAATTGTATGCATAATGCGGAAAATACAACAGGACTCTGATTTTGAAATGTATATGCTTTACTACTTCCAGCTGCGCATTAAAAAGGTGAGGGACATAAAATAGGCACTCACACAATCACCTATAGCATATTACAATATAAATACAATTAAGTAAACATGACCATAATTCATCAACAGTAGATCATAAGCAATCATACACATGCAATATTCATTGATTGTGAACTACCGTGTTTTGACGTTAAAATGCATAGCGCTCACATTTATTGAATGAAACCGCAGCCTTTTGAGGTTTAATAACATATTAGTCTGTTTTTCTTTCTTCAAATTGAAGACCTCTCAAATTGATAATAAAGACTTTTGTTATGCCACTTGTCTCATTTTTAAGGACCACAGATCTAATAAAAACTTGTTTTTATAAGTCATGTGGTTAATTTGTTAACTGTGATTTAGAAGCACTGCTGAATTAAATTATAAACCTTATAAGAGATTTGAGAAAGCATTTCTTCATACATAAGGTATTTTTTTATATAGAAAATTTATATTAAACCATTTTTTTTTCATACTTGAAAATATACAGCTGCGTTCATTAATATTTCATATCTGGGTGGCATTGGTATCAAAACGTTTGAAAACCCCTGACCTAAAGAATATGTTACAATATCAAAAATATTTTATTATATTCCAAATTATTATTTTATTTGACTGAATTAGCCTAAACTAGGTTATACCAATGAAAGTTCTTAAAATGTTTACTTTTTTACAACATCAAGTTTTTATTTTCCTGTGTAGGTCAGAAATATCGAACAAGCTTGATTTGCAAGGTTAAATGTATCATTTCTGCACCAAAATGTATGACTTTTTAAACAGGTGCCATTAGACAAACAAACAAACTGTTTAATATATTTGCCAATTATTTTGTGCTTTTCTAGGACCACAGCTACCTCAATAGCAAGAAAAGGATGTCTAAGAGACAGACAAGGGACCTCCCTTTTGTAAAGCTTCTAAACATTTCCATCACACTGTCCCCGTACCTGAGCGTGGACTCGCAGCAGTTCCAGACCTCCATTCAGGAAGGCATTGACTACTGGCTGAGTCTGCCCTCAGGACCACAGGGACGACCGGTAAGACTGACTGATTGCTTGTCACTGCGTCTGTCTAATTTTAAAGTTCTAGTTTTTTATTTAAATGTCTATATAGTTTTAATTATTAGTACTTCAACCTAAAGGGAACATTTCAATTTTAGGTTTTATTTTATATCCCTTAATATATTACTTTTTATGGTTTTAGTTTTAGTTACTTAATAATAATCCTGCTTGATGCCATTTTTGTCTGGACCTATTAATTAATAAAAAAAAAAAAGCAATGCAAACATACATTGCTTGAAGTCTCCTATGAATATGTTGTACATTTCTTAATGTAAATTAAAAATTAAAATGTTGATCTTTTGGGGCATAAAGTAAAAATGGTCAGGGTGGTACAACTGTCCTGATATTATAATGGGGAAAAAAAGTCTGGGGGGGGGGGGGGGGGCTCATTAAAATGAATTAAATTCTTGAAAATAAATTATTAAATCATTTTTAGTATTATTAAATCATTTTATCAGGTTATATGTCATGTGGTGCAACTCCCCAAAAACTTTGACTTGATTTTTTATTATTTTTAGGATTTAAGTTCATGATATCCGGCACAAAATTCAAAAAATGTATATATGAAAATATGAAAGAGGTGTACATTCATATGTATTAAAGGTGTAAGGAAAGTACTGTTATTACTTAATAGTTACAGTACATAACATTTAACTAAATCTTTCTTGAAAATTGTATACAAGTTTCTTCAAAGCCATATGAAACCAAGAATTTTCACGTTTTGAACTAGAGATTTTTCCTATTCTTTTTCATTGATACACTCTTTGTTCTTGACCCATATGCTTATCTGTGCATTATTATTGTTTACTTTTAATTTTTACATGATTTCTCTTTCATAAGGTGCCTCTGTTGACTCAGTGGAAAGGAAAGTATAGTGTGAAGCTCAACATCACCAACCCAGAAGCCACAAATTGGTTTCTGGACAACGTGGACAGCTTACATAGCCATTTGGGCATGGAGTATGTCATCCTGGAAGGCGGTGAGGGAAACCCTTTCGAGGAACAGGCCCTGCGCCCCCTTCTGGCATGGGTTGGGGATGAATACATCAGACTTCTGGCTGACCTGGCAGAGAGGATAGGGGAAAATACCATTGTGACCTCAGGAACAAGGTATTTGGTTGAATGTTTTAAATAATCCCAATCAATTACTGTGACTTTGCCAAGTAGTGCATGGATCAACATCCTTGTGAGGTTTTAGGTTAGAGTCAGGGCTGGGATTGGGATTTTCAGGTAGTTTGGTTAAGTTTGTTTGAGCAGAATGTTGTTCAAGGATCAACTGAACATGACAATCCAAGAATTTGCCCCATTTGGCAAAATCATGACCAACCTACAACTTTGGGAACAATTAACAGACTTTGTTCAGACAAGGAACCAAAATCCAAAATCCATTCTTGGCATGTCCGACTCAAATCTGTCGTCTGAACCTCCAAAAAAATACACCAAATCTGATTTTTTTACAAGTCTGATCCAAACCACATGCATACATGTGATTTAAAATCTATTTAACTCTTTCCCCGCCATTGACGGAATTTTCCATCTTTCCGTGTTTTCACTGTTGCATGGTAGGAGGTGCTATTACACATCTTCTGATGAGTACTGAACATTTGGATCAAAACACGGTGAAGAAGATGCAGAAACAATCGATTACACATGAAAACAGATGCATATGTAAAATAACGTGATCATCAAGCATTAAACAGCATATAAATAAAAAATGTAGACCCCAGGAAGTGGTTTAGGATTGTGAAGTTTTGGGGGTGTTGATGGAAGTGATCAACTCCATCTATGTTTTGATCATCGATCTGAATCCAATCCAGACATAGACACGATTTTCTCAGCTTTTTGTTCAAAATGTTGCTTTTTTAATTAAACTTGCCCACATTCAAGTCTTGATTAAAAGAAGAATGCATGAAACTAGAATAAAAGCAGAGGCTCTGTTATTTCTTTTGACATATTGCGAGTTCTGGGGGCCATAAAAGTTTTGTAAAAATAATAAAAAATGTTGGTGGTTGCTGGCAAGGTTTTTTTAATTTGTTTTTTTTTAAATGCTGGTGGGGAAGGAGTTAAAATGGAGTTTTGGAAGATTTTATGAATGATGTATCATGTTAACAGCACTGTGGATATACCATGTGTAGCAAGAGGCAGTTTCCCATCTTCTCTTTCCACAATGATAGTTACTTCTCGTTGTTGTTGTAGAAGACTCTTTGCTTTGTTCTGGCTTGTACAGTTTGTGTACAATTTCCATGGCAAGGTACTGATATCGATTATGGTTTGAACAAGATCCAAAATGTCAAGTAGACAGTCACTCATTTGAAAAAACAGACTTTCCCATAAGAAAAAAAAATACTGGATTTGGAAAACAAATTGGAATTGTGTTGTAGGTGATTCGAATTGTTTTTGAACTGGCCGATTTTGTGCGCACAGATCCAGACACAAAGCGCTCTTCATCCGTATGAGTGCGCTGCAGTCAGACTGGAGTTACTCTGGCCTGAAGGGCATCATTCCATCCCTGCTGCATCACAGTCTTCTGGGATATAATTTCTTCATTCCTGATGCAGTAGGTAATACCTGCCCACACGTGCATAAATACACATGTATTTTTTGTGAAAATTCATACCAATTTCATCAACTGTCTTCTTTAATCCTTTACAAAAACAAAAGACCACTGGCACACAGTTGTACAGTACACAGTATGATACGAATAAATCTCATAAAATATGTCCAGAATATTCCCAGGTCACATTTGACCAGTTAATCAAAAGGGGGGGGGGGTTATTACATTTTAAGCCTGTTAAAAATGAAGCCTGTTTTTAGGACTATTAGATTTGTTACTTTGTTGCATTGTTACTTTGACAGTTAAGCACATTTTCCTCACATATTCTCAAAATACTGTAATAATACATCATATGTTAGAAAAATCTTCCTGAAACTGAACAGTTTATGGATCCTTTAGCCAAAATCTAAAAAAACAGTTTGCATATGTGTATCATATTTGATAAATCAGGGGTTTATGGCCCACGTATTATGAAAGAGAAAATATGGAGCTTATATTTGTTCAGAGGCCCAAACTGAGCAAAAATATGCAATTTGGTGAAGATGCTGATATATGGCCAAAACATAAGATTAAATTCAGATAGCTTCGTAATAGAAATCAATGAGATCTTTATATAACAGACTACTTGCATAAAATGTAGTTTCTTCAGTCCAGTAAGTGTTCATCTTGAAATATTACTAACAAGATAAAAGTTATTCTTACATTTACTTTATAAAAATCAGTAAATACTGATTACCATATACCATGAACTGAAGAGGGATGACAGTACTTTCAATTACATGAAAAAGCATTTTACTTAATAAAAAAGTATAAACTATCAATTTGACGACAGAAGGCATGTAGTAGATTGTGTACAACAGGTTTTTCAGCAAGATTTGATCACGTTGATAATTTACAGGCCTTAGAAATTTGTGTATCAAATATGTTACAGTAGGCTTTATAGGGTTAAGCACATTTTGCTTCCGATTTCTAATAAAAACAATATCACAATGCTAGAAAATCGTTATTGTCCACAAAAAAAATTAATTTCTTGACATGTGAATGCATTTGTGGGACTGTCAATCGCAGGAGGCTCTCTCTCTGCTGAACTGGTTGCCGATGACGAGCTTTTCGTTCGCTGGCTTGGAATCGCAGCTTTTCTTCCTGTCATCAGCTTCCAGACACCTCCATGGGTCTTTGAGAAGGAATGGGTGAGTGCCACAAGGGCGGGTCCTCGGCCCCATCCGGGTTTTAGCTTTCACTTCAGTTCCTTTCTCGTTGTGGTCAGAAAATAGGGAATAAGATGGAGCCAAGTGGGTCATACAATAAGAAAGACTTGAGTTTTCAGGAAGCAAAACTGGGCGCAATATGTTAACCATTGAGAGTTAAATGCCTCAGAATTAAAGACGGTTTCTTTTACACTCCTAGCATAACATTGGAAACATAATACTCATTCACTCCATGGTGTACCATGACAATGTCCTCCTCAAAATACTACCTAAATACACGCCAGAATATTCAGTCCCAAGCGCTGATATGTTTGAGCCCTAAGAGCCCGGTTTGAGTTTAGGACCGGCACAGAGCATCCTCCAGGTGGCCATTTTTCTTGCATTTCATGGTGTAATTGCTTGGCCTTTCCCCAACATCACCTGTGGTTAAGGGTCCATCTGGTCTGCATTAGCGTCTCTTTCAAATTTATGACTCTCAATCTCAACTGTAATGAGAACCGCTGCACCAGGAATGATAATGAATTGTTGGATAAGAGGAAAAGAACATTTCCAGAGACAATTACAGGTTTCATTAGTGATTTGACTTTACAGACTAGCATAAGTAGTGGTCATTGTTTTTTTGTTTGTTTGTTTTTTCTAATCCCTGGTAGGAGTGAATCTTTCAATGGATTTAATTGCTAGAAATGGTCAAATAGCAGGAAGTAGAGGGACAGTTGACTTAAAATGAAAATTCTGAAAATTTATTATTCACCCTCGCCCTGGAAGGCTACTTTGCAGTGGACGCTCTTGAAGGGTTGTCATGTTAAATTAATATAAATTATGATTTTTAAGCATCTTTGGGCTTGTTGTTTGGGCTTGGCCAATAAAGCAATCCATTTTATGGAGTTAATAAAGTAGGCAGTTGCAGCCCAGGAGAAAAAGAAAGTGCACTTCCAAAATGTACTTAAAGTGCTCTATTTTCACGCACTAATTTTGTAATTAATATACTACAAATTATTCTTTAGTACTTCTTAAGATGATCTTAAGAATATCTAAGTGTACTCAATCTAACTGTGCTATTTTGGGACACCATGAATATGAACTAAAATGGGCTTTTGACATACTTTCTCTGTATTAATAAAATGTTAGATACCACTTAATACACTTAAACCCACTAGTGTATGAAGTATGAGTACACTCAGATGTTTCTAAGATTATTTTAAGAATAAGTTTGAGTATATGAAGTACAAAATTAGTGCGTGAAAATGGAGCACTTTAAGTACATTATGGAAGTGCACTTTTTTTTCTCCTGGGAGGTCGCAATATTTTCATATGTGGCTTATTTCCAAAATAACGTGTTTGGGTTTGAGTTTATTGTGGGCTTGTTCTTATCTGTTTGTTTGTTAGCAAGATCAGGCAACACTAATGAGTCAGGCATACCCTGTGATTTCTTGCACGGCACATACAGAAAAGACAGAACTCTGATACACGTTTAAATACATCATTAACAGCTAGTTGTTCAGTTCGTTTCCATACACACTGCATAGAATTTATGTAAATGCGGTTACCACAGCCTGATTTTTTTCAGGAGTCAATTCATTTGTAGAATATGATTATCACTCCCATAAATTACTGAACTGTGTGTACAGAAAATAATTAAGAACTGTAGTTTGAAGTGACCAACAAATTTAGCTGCAATGTGTGTGTGGCCAAAGAGGGAAAAAATGAAGAAGACTGAACCTTTCAGGCTTCATAAAGAACAAGAAATCAACAACAACAAAAAAAACATATTCTAAAAGTAATATGTACAACTGAAATTTATGTTGATATTCTCAAAAAAAAAAATCTTGACATCCCTCCGACTGCCTATGGAATGTTCATGAGGGAAGTAGTGTTGCCCGATAAAAGAAAGAATCATTCTTTTGAGTCGTATCTTTCAACTGAATCAGTTGATCAGGTCCAAAAAATCATCTAAATGATTCGTTCTCGAATCAGACTGACTCTGCATGGAAAAAAGTCGTAACATGTTCTCATTTTGTGTTCTGAGGAAAAAAGTCTGATGGATTTGGAACGACACGACGGTGAATAAATGATGACAGATTTTTTGGGTGAATTATCCTTTTAATAACTCTAAGACGTCTATTTGAACTGAGAAAATGGTATTGGAACATTCGTTGGTTTTGATCTTGGCTCATGGATATCATCTGGACAGTCGTAACCCTCTTAAATCATAGTTCATTAGTATTATTAATATTAAATGTGTTGATCATACTGAAAGGCTTACTTGCCGTTATTTTCCATTCTCTTTGGATTGTTGCCTTCTGCAGGCTGTGTGTGTGTGTGTGTGTGTGTGTGTGTGTGTGTGTGTGTGTGCATGTACTAGCTTTTGTGCGATTACCCAACACCCATTAGAGATCCAATGACTATGTTGGGTCTAAATAGGAGGAAAAAGGGAATGGAAGCCGCAGGCCTGTTTTCTCCATTTAAAATTAGGCCGAACTCAGGCAGTTATTCAAAATTAATCTCATGAAACTTTTTTTCATCTAAAGAATACATTTTTTATGAACGTGGTTTTGCTTTGTTTCCATCACCAGAGGCTGGCTAGGATGTTAACTGAAGGATATGACCTCTCAAGGAATGTTAGAAACAAACCACAGCAGAACTAGATGAGAACGGTGTTGAACAAAAACTCACATCCTCTTTCATATACGTTTTATTAAGTGTTCACTGACAGTTTCACCTTCTTCCTAGGTCCTAAACCTCACCAGATTCTACATAGCCAAGCACCATGACTTTGTCATTCCTTTGATACTGAAATACGCAGAGGAATGGCAAGAGACCGGAAACCCCATCTACAGGCCGCTGTGGTGGCTCAGTCCAAATGATCCAATCATGTTCACCATTGATGATGAGTTCCTCATTGGAAATGAGGTAAGCTGCGAAGGTAGAACGGTAAGATGTGCAAGTCACTTTTTTAATAATTAGCCCATTTAGGAGTAACCTGAGCTTAAGTGCCCTGCTCGAAGACATGGTGACTGTGATTTTACCAAGTAGGACATATTTCTGAATCATTTGTTGGTTTTGGAATAATACAGCCCAAACCTCCAGCCCTAACCTGAAATCAGTAGATTATATGTTTTCAGTGTTGATTTCGACAATTAAAGTTCTGACGAGATGTTAGTTAATGAAGGGTTTTCAAAGCCAGAATTTCAGCGCACATCATTTTACTTTTTCCCGCAAACTCTTTGCTTATAATGAGGAAATTCCCACAAACATTCACTCACTATAGCAATGTGGGTCAATGGTTTGAAATCTCTCTCAGGCTGTTTGTTTCTTATGCTATTGTGTGTCCGGTAAACTTTTTCAACTAAAATGACTCCATAGCACCACCTAGCATCTAAAGCCCAAAGAATACTTCATATTTTTTTTATACATAATTTCCCCTGGAACACTGAGCTGGTTTTGTTACAAAGACCTGGCAACCCTGGCGTATTCATACAGTTGACGTGTAGCCTTTCATAGTATATGCCACTTGATTGCACGAATGCAGGCAGTCAATACATGCGCTCTAGAAAATTTCAGAAGTTATGAAGGATATGACTACTTCCCTCATATTGACCGAAAATATGTCTTTGTACTAGGGCTGCACGATTAATCGCATGCGATATTTCGTTAAATATCGCATGCGATTAATCGTGCAGCCCTACTTTGTACTCTTCTAAACTAAAGTTGCAGCTCTCTCATAACCCCTTCGCACAAGCGCTTGTCAATGCAGGCGTCTGTTGTTGTTGCAGTCTCCACTATTTTGTTGTTGTTGTTCCATTTCTTTAGTTTCGTATTTTCCTGTGAAACAACAGCCCGTGTTGCCACCTTGTGGAACTACTGATTAGTGCAAAACAAATTCAATTCAAATGTGCGACCTGTGCATGTGTACAAAGTATGCACGGTTACAAAAATCAAGTGGTGCATGTGGTATGCATGTACTATTCTGGTGACAAAATTTTCATCACACATTTATTCAGAATATAAACGGGATTAATCACCTCATGTAATACATTTCTTAAATAGTAAGTGTGGCCTTGTAGTTACTGAAACCAAATTCAAATCCTAACCTTCAAGGATTAACAAAAATGCTGATGAAGTCCTATTTGGCGAAATTGTGATCACCAAATGGCACAATAGTGATAGTTTATAGATCATCCCTGTGGGTTTGAACCTATAGCCTTTCGATTTCCAGTCTAGCTAGGCTACATATTCAAAACTGGGCTTTCAAGGTGATCCCTGCTATTGTATACTTGAAGTTTGAAGTTTTTTTCTTCTGCTTTTGTAGGTCCTTGTTGCACCAGTTACTGAAAAAGGAGCTTTACAAAGAGACATATACCTCCCGGAGAGTGACTTTCAGTGGCAGGACACTAACAATGCTCAAGTGTTTGATGGAGGGACGTTTCTGGAAAGTTACCCAGTCGGCCTTGGGGACGTGGCGGTTTTTGTACGATGTAGATTCTGAGGCTTATTTACCACTTTTTTTCTATTTTTGAAATTTTCACTTGTGCTGATCTCAAATTGCACTTTCCATAAAGACCATTATCTGTGTCTCAAGGAATCTTGAGATTAAGTAGAAGATAATTTGCACTTTAAAAATCAAAGTGGTTTATATTTTCTCATGATTTTTAGATCCCTCTTGTTTTCTCCGCTACTTGTTTTAATTCGTACATTTTTTGGACTTTTTTCTTCAGAACGCAGTTTACATTTGATAGATTCTTACAGCCTCTTAAATTGTTATCATGATATAGAGCTAGAAATCAAACTCTTTGCTTAAGAACAATCAATGGAATTTTATGAAGACCAAACAATCGAAAAAAAATCGCAAAATTGAGAAAGACTCTACAAGGAAAAACCAATGCGCTAAATGGATGAAGATGAAAATACGCTAAAACATCACTCATCTCATCTCAGCTGGGTTTTTACTTGAACTTTGCTGAATATTTGCTGTAGTTTTGTAATGTTTTAGCTGTACCTCAAGTTCTCATGGTGTTTTCAACGTATATTTTTCGTCATGAACTGTGAGAGAAGCACTTACTGATAGAGAAGACTGAAATTAAGGGCTTTTAGGGTGAATAGCACAATTATTTTTGTCTACAAAACAAGAATATTGAAGATCAATCATTAGTAGTAGAATATGAGCCGATGCCAAACAAAATTTTCATAGCTGTACAGTCTTAGTTGAAATGCAACACACAACAAAGGACAAACTGTTATTTCATAATGGTCATTTTTTAGAGATTTTGATATTATGCTGATCTTAATAATTATTTGTTTAGCTTCTTGCAATTGACCAGATTAACCAATATGGTATTTCTAGATCTTAAGTAATTCATAGGACATTATTCAAGGTAGAATTAGAGTTTTGTATTTATATCAATTCAGACTAAACTTGATCATTCATTGCCTTAACTTTAGAAATACTTTGATGACTGTAGTGGCATTTGTACATTTTGTCCTATGAAATGTAGTTACTAATCGTTCTAAAGCTGAATTGCACCATTACAAATTATTTGGGATAACGGATGTAGATTTTTCACAGCCCGAGGGCAACAATTGTCCTGTAGAATTGTGGTTTAACGAGTCTGGGCAAAATACAGATGCATTTTATAATAATTTGCTAGAGGTGATGTATGGCAAGCTGTTTTAAGTTTAATCTAAAACATATTAGTGTCTAGTTTCATGCTACTAGTGCTTATTTTTTTTTAGCTGCTAGTATCTATTCCATTAGGTACTAATATGTACTTTTTGGCTTCTAGTGCTTATTCTTTAGGTACTAGTACCTTAATAAAGATACTAGTACTTATTCATTAGATTCTAGTATCAATTAAAATAAGAGTTTAAGAGTAGTAAAAGTTTTATTTTACTAGTAATATTTTTAATTTAACTCTACAGTGGCCATTCTGACTAGTCATAACATATGATGAGTAAAAAAGCAGTTGTGACTAGTATAAGATTTGTTACTAGTAACAGTTACAAAAGATACTAGTGTCTAATAAATAAGTACTAGTACCTAATGAATAACTACTAGTATCGATTAAATAATATTTAATAAGTACTAGTATCTAATGAATACTTACTAGTAAAATGTAAAAAGATTCTAGTCACTATTGGAATACATACTACTCATAACTGAATAGTTGATATCTGACACAATGTTGAAATGTGTTTCTAGTAACTGTAGAATAGTAACTAGTTACTACTGAAATACGTACTAGTATCTAATGAATAAGAACTAGTATCTTTAAAAAGTTACTAGTACCTAATAAGCACTAGTCAATGACTAGTGATACATTTTAATTGCGTTACTAGTAACAGTAGAATACATACTAGTTACGATTGAAATAAGAACTAGTGTCTTTAAAAAGTTACTACCTAAAGAATAAGTACTAGTATCTAATGATAAATAAGAACTAGTATCTTTAAAAAGTTACTAGTACCTAATGAATAAGCACTAGTCAATGGTAAAAATTTGAAATGCATTACTAGTAACAGTAGAATAGTTACTAGTTACGATTGAAATAGGTACTAGTATCTAATGATTAAAACCTATTATCTTTAAAAAAAAATTACTAGTACCTAATGAATGAGCACTAGTCAATGGTAAAAAACTTGAAAGGCATTACTAGTAACAGTAGAATAGTTACTAGTTACAATTGAAATAATTACTAGTATCTAATGAATACGAACTAGTATCTTTAAAAGTTTACTAGCACCTAAAGAATAAGTACTATTAACTAATGAATAGCACTAGTAGTTAATGAATAAGCACTAGTAGCTTATGAATAATCACTTGTAGTTTATGAATAAGCACTAGTAACTAAATAAGCACTAGTAGCTAAACAATAAGTACTATTAACTGAAGAATAAGCACTAGTAACTAATGAATAAGCTGTAGTTGCTAATGAATAAGCACTAGTAGCTTATGAATAATCACTAATAGTTTATGAATAAGCACTAGTAACTAAATAAGCACTAGTAGCTGAAAAATAATTACTTGTAACTGAAGAAAAAGCACTAGTAGCTAATGAATAAGTACTAGTACTTAGATACTACTGTAGTAGCTAAAAGAAATAAGTACTAGTAGCATTAAAATAAATGTGTTTTAGGGGTTAAATGTTAATGTGGCTTGCCATAGATGCTGCTACTTTCACTCTCATGCCGTGACAAGGTCCAAACTTGGAGGATTGGTTCCCCATGCTAAAACACTAAATCACAATCACCGCCGTGTGAATCTACAGTGAAGAGAAAGAACGAGAACTTGATCAGTATCACCTGATACGTGTGGCCTACTGGGAATGTCCTCTTAATCCTCACTGTGATTTTGAATGTTTACTGTATCTGCAGGTTTCTCAGGTCAAAGATATCAAATCCAAGAGAAAGAAAATGTCTTACGCCCCAGCACACTGTTGATGTCTTAATCTCTTGATGCTCTTTTCATTTGAGAACTAATTGTGATGATCTTATGCAGAGTGGTGTTTTGGGAGCCTTTTTTGCTTGTATTTTATATTAAAATGCTGCGCTATGAAAACGATATGCTGAAATGTTCCCTGCTGAGCAATCTTCGACTTTTTTGTAGGAATCAGGTGCCACAAGCCAATCAGCAATATGCATATATCATATGACTGCCATTTTCTGTCTTCTGTCAATCTGAAAAATAGAGATGTCAATCTGCAATAAAGTTTACATTTTGTTACTGTAGGAACCCATTGTTTGAAACCTTGCTTGCAGACTGAAATTAATAATTATAAGAAGCAAATAAGAAGGTATGAAAAAAAAACTACATTTTTATCAAATTATTAAAAATTATATAAAAATATTTTTACACATAGAATAATGGGAATTAATAACATTTAGATGAATTATGGTACTGATAATGAGCTTAAATGTTCTGAAAATGTCACAATACAGCCCTAAAACAGGCTACATTGCTGAATCAAATGTAATTTCTTAATTTCTTCTTTTGATTTTGGGCTGAAAAGTAATTAAATCTCAAATACTTTCTTGCTGTTTGCATAATATAGGCATACAGTATGTATAGTACTGCATGGAAATAGAAATACATCAATCTATAGATGTGTACTGTTTGACGGGGTGTTGGAATTCCCACCTTGGTCATTGTAGAAGTAGCCACCATCTAAGACCCTTCAATAAATTGTAAGCCTATATAGTTTTATTATATAGCTTGTGTGCACAGGGATATGTAAGCGACCGTCCATGCTCTCACAGTATCAGTGGCTCTGCTGACGATGAAAACCTGCACTAATTCCACTTAAACCCAATAAGAATTATTTATAGTAGCAGAAAGCATGCAAACGGAATCATATGGAAAACACATTCAGGGGCCCCAACCTTAACTTACACTGGCCCTATTCCATTACAGGCTTTTCTGGAACCATGCAGCCACACACACACAACACAAAAAAGGTTATACTTATTATTTCTTTTATAAAATAGTATATATTGTTTGATTATCATAGTATTGAATGCAATTCTGTAGTAGTAGTTAAATATTTGAATATATACATGCATATTTTGCAATCAATTGTTTGTGTTTATAGATACAACCAACAACTTTAAATGGAATGTTTTGTATTTCTCCATCGCAATGCTTCATGGGATTGTAGTTCTTTCCCAAATCACAGCGTTAAGTACACAGTCTTTTCATGTTATGATTCAACTCCTAGCTGGTTGGCTTGGTTCATGCTCACAGTTCATTTAAAATGCTTTTTGAAAAACCCTATAGGAAAAAAAAATATATGGGAAAAATACCTCTGGAACCAGTGCCACCAAAAAATTGGGCGGGCACTAATGCACTCTATTGGTCAGTAAACCAGGTAGCCCCATCCCTAAACTCACACCATTGGTTAAGCCAATGCTGCCGTTACACTTTTCAGAAAGATCAATCCACCTATGAATGGCTTATAGTTATTACAGGAAAAACTATTTTAACATACAAATTTCACCGTTAACCCCTTAAATGTCACCCCCCATTTTTGACTATAGACGTGAAAGTGCACTATACAGACTTAAATTGCAATAATTCATGAACACTTTGGAATGCAGAACTAAGGTTGGACTCTTTTTGTAAGAACAAGTTTTAAGACAATCTGCAGATTATCGCACAAGTGGAATCATTTCAAAATATGAAAGTATCAAAAAGTTACAGAAGTTTCAATTTACTGCAAAGAAAATGCACTCTACCCATTTTTGTATTTCATATAAAATAAATATTTTACAAAATATTTCTGAATCCAAAATTGCTATACAATTAAAGCCTTGTGTGTAAATAAGTTATGTTCCAAATTTGAAGTTGATAACAAAAAAATTGAGGTTCCTGTGAGATTTTATTTAGGGCGTTATACCATGAACAGCCACCGGCTGCCATCCAAACTCCATTGATTTTTTAATTAATTTTTCTTTCACAAATGTTTACATTTCTCTGTCATATTACTTATATCACAAAATAACCACCAAATATGGAATCCTGAGACTCAGACCTTTCCGATGATATGCATTTTGTCAAGATTATAACAAGTTTTTATTCTAAAAGACCGTAATACATTTTGTAAAATGGCACTTGACTCCACCCACTAAAGGGGGAGGAGACCCCTACAACATTTACAGTACCATTTCCATGGTAACGCAATGTCCGATTTCAAAACGGTTTTCACAGGATGAATTTTTGAGCTTTTAAGCTTTCAAATGATATATAATTTATGATGATTACTAAAATATATGATCGAGAAAAAAATACAACGGAAAAAAAAAAGAGTGCCAAGTGGCCTACAGGTGGGCCTGTGACACTTATGGGGTTAAGTATTGGTTAATGAACAACACTCAAATTCAGTCTGCTAGTGTTTCACATGAAGCTCAATGAGTCCATCAGCTGAGTCACATTCATATACTGCCAACTCAATACAAATGTCTTTGGACTTCTCAGCTGCACACAAACCACACTAGTTCTGAAATTGGGGGTTCAGGCTAATTTTAGAAAGGTTTAAAGTGTCTGTTAAAGTGAAAAGGTTTAGTGTGGAAGTGGTATCTGATAATAATCGAGATGTGGTTTGGAAAAACTTTGGTTGTGTTTTGAAAAATAGCATGCAATAGACCAAAGACTATTCGAGGTAACAGTACTACTCACATTAGGGTTGTAAACTCAACTGCATGGATACTAGTATCAGAGAGTGGTCTACACTTACCTGTCCAAAAAAAAGAAGTAATTTGGGCATCACTACAATGGATTTTTTCTATCATCGCATGCCCCCATTAATTTTTGGGTGAACTATGCAATGCACAATAGGCTACACCAAGAACGATATCTAAAGATAATAATATATCTAATAACAGACAGTAATGGATTCTGATTGGCTGTCAGTGTTTTTACGTGTGTGTGTGTGTGTGAGAGAGAGAGAGTATATAAATGTGGAACATACCTCATCTCCAAGCTGAAAGTGTTGATGGGGGTCTTGGCAGACATACGCAATCTCCGAAATACAAGATGCAGCGGAAATGAGTTTGTGAATCCATGTCTTCATTGGGAATACCTCTGTAAAGAAAATGTGTGCGCTTCCTGTTTTGCCCTTCTGAGATATTTGTCACCTTGCAATGGTTTTAAGGGTCTGCCTGATATATCTGAGGACCAAACAGAATCACTCCTTCCGGGGGTTGTGTAACTCTCTATGCCTTAGGATGTACCATAGTA